TGGGGGGGGGGGCGGAAGGGCGGAGGGTTGCAGCGACAGTACCAATGACAAAATATCACAAATACGGAAATCCAATCAGATCAAACTATTCATGAAAAAATTGCCCTCTCAGAAACTTGAACAACGCTTGTTATACATTCCTTATTACAGATGGAAATTTCTCAAGCCTCATACCTTGAGAGATTCGTCTGAATATATTGGAAAATATGATGGTGCTTTTACAGATGTATTAGATAGATGTAGAATCACCATTTATTACTGTGCTAATTCACGGAACAGTCGATCTTTTGTGATCAAATTTCTTCAGCCAATTTTTTCCTTGTAATATTCCTTTTGAATATTTGGGAGAACTAATTCATTTATGACTGCGCTCACAAAAATTTCTGATGAGTGCTGTAATGCTGATATCAACTGCGCCGGGCTGTCTTGAACTCATGCCGTGCATATGGTTGTACAGATAAGTACATGTCACACGGTCTTATACTAAGAGATGAAAAAAGAGACCACAAATCGCAACAAAGTTGAATTGGATGCATCTGTAAGTGGAGAACCATAAACAAAAGGAACCCTATAAGATGTGCAAGCATCCTAATTCAAATGATTGTGCCTCGGGTGCACACGTGATTCAACAGGAGAGAGGGAAACCACGACCAAATAGACTGACGGTCTAGTAATGTACAGTTAACCTGACCCAAGCTAGTAATATATTTTCCAAATTCATCCTGGATGAGTCTTACGGGGACGGCTGTTGCATGAATGATAAACAATTAAAATTTAAATGACAGTTCGTCGTGTATTTAGCAAATGAAGCGTGAACTGAAAAGATCGGAAGCACTGGACAGCTGTTTTGACCTGGTTGGGTCTCATCAGCAGTGCGAATCCATCGATCCGACTGGGGATCGAACCCGCGATTTATTGGGCAGAACGCAAACGTGCCACCCACTACGCCACCGGGCAGCTGATCAAACCATCTTTTCATTTTCCATTTCCAGTGCTTCCGAGCTTTTTAGTTCACGCTTCATCTGCTATATACACGACAAATCGTCATTTAAAATTTAACCAAATCCTCCATTGCCCACCTGAAATTAAAATTTATTTTACAACTTTATAACGAAAACAACTCAAAACTGTCTTAATTTGTAAAGTGAAAAAAACAACATTGTAATTTCTTAGGTTCAAATTTATGCTCTCTGGTTGATCTCATCAGATTTGTCAAACCCTCGCACTGTTGAAGCCTCGGCGATCTTCGATGATCCGAATTCTGCACGGATATCTCAGTATCCAGTTGAAATACAGAGGCGAGCAATGTTGTGAGCCTATCTCGGTCACACATACCCAAAACCACGTGGAATTTATCGACCATTTATCTAACACGTAGGCGTATCAGCCTGTTTGTTCTCATGTTCCGCTGGCACTGGGGATGACGCTCGATTTATATACGCCCGATTCATATGCGATCAGTGTGCTGTTTACCGATTGACGAAAATGAGGCACCAACAGAATTTTCACTCTTCACCTAGTGACCAATCAAAATGATCATATATTGTTTGATCATACATCCGGAACAGAATAATATATCTCCACCAAACTTTAATTTCGCACCGAGCGCGGTCAAAATATGCCATCATAGTTACTTCATTCAAAGTTGAGATATTTATCAAAAATGCACTTTTTGAGTATGGATTCTGAGTTCAATAATTCATGTTTGCTGAAATCGCACGATCCTCTGGGGTTACCATTGATATTTTTGGTACGGTTTGCAGTCGCGGACTTGTGTAAACTGTTTCATCTAGTGAGAATTCCTAAGGAGAACTTAACGAAATGTTGGTTACCCACAAAGATTCTTGGACATCCGTAAGAGGCAACTCTGAAAAGTTACTCAACAAAAACGCCTCTTTTATGCACTTAGCTTTTGAATGTATTGCATAATGTCCACCGATAGTTATCTTCAAACAATGCCAGCTGTTCAGTTCATTGTCTCCAATAGCGAAACGGATATGGTCCTAGGTAAACGTATCTGGCAAGCCGGATTTTTTTTTCCATCCTGCATCCCAGTTCGCCTGAAGTTGCGGTGACGCACCTAGGAAAATCAAACCGGAAGCCGTCACTAACACACTTCAAAGTGGTTGGTGAATTCTATGAACACCGATAACTAATGCTCAAGTGAATAAACGAAACCTGGGTTCATCCGTTGGGAAATACTTCATGACAAAAAGAGACACAACTAATCCTCTGTCATCTTTCGATCCACTATTGCGCAACCGAAATTCTCAACTTTTTGTAATTAGTAAAGTTTTGCTTATTTGATTACAGCACACGATTTTACGCTCCCAAAAGTTGTTCACGAGGACAATCCATTCACTGCGGAGTTGACAAGCTTGCGACACCCATTCCCGAACTTTTCAGTTCTTTTTTGTCATCTGTAACGATCTCCGATTATTGGAGATCAGACCCGAATCAGACCAATCCCCAAGAAAGGATCGTCAAAGTATCGTCCAGTTACCTGCACTTCTGTGTTGCTGAAGGCCTTTGAAAATGTTTTGCTGTGCCACATCATACCACATTGTAACTCCCATGACCCTTTGCCATTTGCTTATAAACTCCATTTATCCACATTTGTCTCCGTTGCTCAAATTGTTTATTCTGTTGCTTCCGTCTTAGACAAAGGTGCAGGTAGCGCTCGATTAGCTTTTCAGGATTATGCAAACTCTTTTGGGTCCCTCGACCGAAGAGTGCTTATTGAACGTCTTTCTGAGTGTAGGCTGACACCTGAAGTCTTGAATGTACTAACGGACTACTTCTCCCGTAGGACCCAGTTTACTTCACCAAATGGGGCACAGTTGTCTTCTTTAACATAGAAGCTGGTGTTTTTCAGGGTACTGTTTTGTTCCGTTAATTGTTTTCTGTGTATATACAGAATCTCCTTATTCCCAGCAACGTAATTACATTGCAGTTCCATTTAGTTTTTGAACGGGTCCTCGTTATCTTTCATTAGTAAATAATTCCCCCACCTTATGGTCAACAATAAAAGCACTCAAAAATCTTTATATGTAAAATATCTAGATGTAACCCTTGCCCATAACCTGTCCTGGTCTAATCATGCCATCAGCGTTTGCACAAAAGTTCGAAAACTGTCTTTCTTTGCTTACAGGCTCAGGAAACTGGCCGTACCACATAGTCTTATTCTTAAATTTTTGTGATTGCCTGCATTCTTCCACATTGGCTATACTGCTCCTCGATATTTATCCCTGGACTGAAAGAAAAAGATTTCACTTTATTTTCGAAACCCCATAAACTTTGTCCCGCTACAATGGAGTTGATAGAGTTGTTTTAGTTGATTTCTTTATTTGCAAGCATCTTGACGCTTGTGATACATTCATCGACAGGATAACACGTGATCAAGGGCACTATCTGCACCGAGATATCGAGAAAGCCCTGTCGAATCCCCGAACTAGCTCCAAATATCAACCCCTTCCTGCACGTACTTCTGCATATCGAAACAGTGTTATTCCATATCTAGCTCGGTTACTGGTTAATTGTCAGAATATTCTCACCCACCTCAGGGAAAACTCTTGTACTAATTTTTTTTTCCATTTACCAAAGTGTAGAATCTCTTACGTTGTCTTTTTCGTTTCCAAGTGGATTTATCTATCCTCTGTAAAAATTGTAAACCATTGAAAATGCCCGCTTTGAATGCATAAAGTTTTCTTGATTTAACTTGATTTATTATTTTGGAAATCTTTGTTTGTTTATATCCGGTCGTTCAATACTATTGATCAACAATAAGTACCATACGTATGCCAGCTTAGTTTACATGAGCGAATGAGGAGATTAAGTGAAACGTTATCATTTCGCAACGTTGAAGAAGTAAATAAAGGGAACCCAACGTTTTATCAATACGCTCACAAATGCTGCCCCCGACTCCGAACGCATGGATTGGGTATCCCACGTGTAAAGCACTACCCAATGCAACCAATGATTACTTTTTCTCATGCCCCAGCCAAGTTGGTT